TAAACATATACTTATAAATAAAATATATTGTCTATATTTAAAGTCCAGTATTTTAAAAGAAGCTAAACCCTTTCGTAAATAAACTGAAATTGAAATAAGGCTGTTACATAATTGTATGCAAGAAACTAATTTGCAATATTTTATATTATTTTATTCCAAAAAAAGTAGAAAATTAAAATACATAAAGAATTATATATATTGTATATCGCATACGTGCGCGGAGTAGTTAATCTTTTAACAAGCATTGGTATCACTCCTGATATTATAATGGGTCACTCCATTGGCGAAGTGTTTTGTGGATGTACTAATGGACATCCATGGCGCTTAACGGCCGAAGAAACGATCATGTTGGCATATTATGTCGACTTTATTTTTAACACAAAAATTCGACTTAATATTTTTTAACACAAAAATAATAGATGGCTTAATGGCTGCATTAATCTCGATTTCGAAACTATGAAAAATATGTATCCATTGGATATTGATGTAGCTTGTTACAATAATTCACATAATTCTATTATGGATGGACCAACCAATTCTGTAAGAGCATTCATTGCTAAGCTGCAGATTTGTGAAAATGCTTTAATAGTATAAATAATATATCTATATGCTTATAAATATGTTTAATTTTAAATAACTGATAAAGTTTATTCCTATTTAGGCTGACAACATCTCTGCGAAAAAAATATCCTTCAGATGTATATCTTTTCATAGTCGTTACGTCGAGCCCACAAAAGTTAAACTTTTATAATATTTGAATCAAATATTCACAATAAGCGTCTTTCCAAGTTCAAACAAATGCTTCGTAAAGCAAATTACATATAAAATACACAGCATATCATGATTTTATGGCTCTAGTTTATTCTTTCAATTTTGACCTGCAACATATCCGGTTTAGTGTGATACGTAATCCCACTCACGTGCATAACTTTATAATTTATGTAAAATCAAAGTCTAATTTCTGCTTAATAACAATACCAGCTTAGAAGAGACAGTAACGTTTTTAAGTACACTTGCATATTTTTTGCTGTTGCTTTATTGTTAATACTGTTCTGTTTGCTATTTTAATAATAATGGATAAGAATACAATTGAACCAGTCAAATTAATTCCGAGGTTTACGCTGGACAAAGTATATTTTTGACAGGCGCGACAGGATTTCTGGGCAAAGTACTCATCGAGAAGATACTGAGATTTTGCCCGGATATACGAGAAATATTAATATTAATGCATTTGAAGAAGGACTAAGCCTTAATGAAAGACTCAAAAAAATATTAAACTTACTTTTAAGTTAGAAATAGAAATGGATACTTCTTGCAGCACACACACTCACACACACACACACACACACACACACGATACGCGCACGCACGCATGCACGTACGCACGCATGCACGAACGCATGCACGCACACACACAGACACACACACACACAGACACACACACACAC